CGAGCCTGCCGCGCTCGGGTCCCGCAGCGGGACCCGGGCTGGCGCGCTGGGCGGCCGCTAACGGCGGGTCCTAGCCGGGGACTGGGGGCTGGGCCGTGGGCACCCCCTCCCCCCACGACTGGCATGCTAAGGGGAGAAAAGAGACGCACAACAAAGAAACTAAAGCCAACCACGGCGCGAGTTGCCGTCCTCGGACCGTCCGCGTATTCGGGGACAAAGGAGTCTCGGGGCTGTAATTGGTTCGACGCCCCCTCCCCCCCCAACCCTTCCAACCGTTGTGGGCTCGGCGACTGGGCCCGGGAGTGGGAAACCGCGCCGCTGCCCCGGAGCCAGCCCAGGACGGACGTGCCGTCTCCCCGCGCTGCCTACCCCTGCCCATTAATCATCGGATTTGTCACCGGTACAATTACAGCCCTGCCCAGAGCGTGGTTTAGGGTTGCTTGTTTTCTTCCCTTCGGGGTTAACAGTCCGGTGGCGCTTCTCTTCTTCAAAGCCATAAACCCATTGTGTGCGATTGGGGTGGGGTAGAGAAAGTAAACAGGTTCCCGCCTGGCCGCCAGTGCCATCTGGCTGGCCGAGGTTGCGCGCGTGATTCCTGTTTTTGGCGGCTCAACTGGTTGATTCCTAGAGACTGTTTTGTCCCATACTACTCCCATACTACTGTGTTGTTTCAAAAATTTTGTGCGATCTTTCCCCATTCCCACACACGCACAGCAGCAAATGCAATGCTGGGCGTTTAAAAAAGTTGATAGGAGCTAGCGGAAAAGGAAAGTACAGCGGGAGCTAACAGTAACCATCTAAGTATTGTTTTCTCTGTTCTTTTCTTCTGTAGAACATTATAAACATCACTGGTTCCCAGAAAAGCCGTGCAAGGGATCAGGTTACCGTTGTATTCGCATCAACCATAAAATGGATCCTCTGATTGGACAGGCAGCACAACGGATTGGACTGAGCAGTCAGGAGCTGTTCAGGCTTCTCCCAAGTGAACTCACCCTTTGGGTTGACCCCTATGAAGTGTCCTACAGAATTGGAGAGGATGGCTCCATCTGTGTGCTGTATGAAGCCTCACCAGCAGGAGGTAGCACTCAAAACAGCACCAACGTGCAAATGGTAGACAGCAGAATCAGCTGTAAGGAGGAACTTCTCTTGGGCAGAACAAGCCCTTCCAAAAACTACAATATGATGACTGTATCAGGTTAAGATATAGTCTATGGATGGATCATCTTATAATGGATGGATAAATTTGATTTTTGCTTTGGGTGGGCTCCTCTTGGGGATGGATTATGGATTTTAAACCATGTCACAGCTGTGAAGATCTGGCACAAGATAGAGTGGTAAATTTTTTTAAGTGACAGTGCCATAGTTTGGACAGTACCTTTCAATGATTTAATTTAATAGCCTGTGAGTCCAAGTAAATGATCACTATTTGCTAGGGAGTGAAGTCCTAGGGTGGTTTCAGTTTCTCCCAGACATTCTACCTAAAATTTTACATCAGTCGCTTTAATGCAGATCTGTATTTCAAAGAACCTCTCTCTGCAGTAGATCTTGCAGAGGAAATTTGCACTCTTAACACTTGAAAATTGTTAACTTTGGCAGCTCAATAGGAAAGCTCAACATTTTAAACATGGTATTACTGGAAATTTTATGACAAGACTTTTACCTAGCACTTAAATATGTATAAATGTACATAGGACAAACCTAGTAAGCATGACCTGGGGAATGGTCAGACCTTGTATTGTGTTTTTGGCCTTGAAAGTAGCAAGTGACCGGAATCTGCCATGGCAACAGGCTTTAAAAATTAAGACCTTTAAAAAGACACTGTCTCAACTGTGGTGTTTGCACCAGCCAGCTCTCTGTACATTTGCTAGCTTGTAGTTTTCTAAGACTGAGTAAACTTATTTTTAGAAAGTGGAGGTCTGGTTTGTAACTTTCCTTGTACTTAATTGGGTAAAAGTCTTTTCCACAAACCACCATCTATTTTGTGAACTTTGTTAGTCATCTTTTATTTGGTAAATTATGAACTGGTGTAAATTTGTACAGTTCATGTATATTGATTGTGGCAAAGTTGTACAGATTTCTATATTTTGGATGAGAAATTTTTCTTCTCTCTATAATAAATTGTTTCTTATCTTGGCATTTTAATAAATCTCTTGTCCTGATTATAGAGGTTCAGCTAAGGAAATATTTCTCAGAAGACAGGTTTTATAAGATGTGAATGTCAGTTGCTCACTGGTCATGCTGAAGAACATTTGATAAGGAGTGAAGATGATCTGTGTAAACATATTTAGGTGTTACAGGAAACACAGGGGTAACAAGTTTTTTTTTTTTTAATCTAAAGTCAAAACATGGACACATTCCCAGGCTAAACGCATGAAATGAGGATAAGATACAAAAGGTAACATCTACCAAAAGTGATATTCAGAGGATTACATTTCATTGCTTCCCTGTTGAAGTGAAGATATGTTCCATTCTGGCCCATCTTTGAAAAACAATTATTTTGCCCCATAAATTCCTTGTTCAATTAGAAAATCCTGGGGCAGATGACCCATAGTCTTAAAGAATAGGCTAATCACTGCAGAAAGATTGGTCGCTTTTTGCATTTCATCAACTGCAAGATTTACATAAAAAAATCACTTAACCTGGAATTCAACAAAAGGTATGTTTATAAATTTTTATTCTCAAAAGTAGAAATGCTGAGTTTTTGATTCCTCATTTTCAAACATTTCAGTTATATTCAAAGACCTTAAAACATGAATAATGCTGGAGTCTATTCCACTTCCCCATACAATAAAGACTTGATAATTCTTTGATTGTAGAGGATAACATGGTATTTCTCTACACAGTTAAGTAACTTACCATATAGTGACCTTTCTTTTAGGAAGGAGAGGTTAGAAATGTAAACAAGTTCACACTGGAAATATGCAATTAAGTTACTTGAAATCAGTATTCCCAAATAAATACAGAATTTATAACTAAAATTAAATTCTGATCTTATAGACTACACAATAATACACAGCTAAATATGCAGGTATTTAGAATACGAGTGATATCTGTATGCTTCATTGGTAGGCTATCCTTAGGAGTTCGAAATATAACAACACATAGATACCCCTTGCCAATTACGGTTTTATTTTTCAGACTATTTGAAAATCTCCTGTTTTCCAAACTTGAATCTACAGTAGAACAACTGGTACTATCATTTTTACACAAGTCTCACACCAGTGCTGACTACTATTGTATATTGACTGCATTTCATCTGGTAATTACTTTGAAGCTAGGTGAAAGTTTTGCACATTAAATCTTTAGGGGACCTAGGGCAAAGTAAGGATGACTTCCAGACCAAATTTTTTTATCCTAAGACCTTTTCTCAGATGGAGAATTATTTTTGAAGATCATCACATCATACTTTTTAGTACTTTAAATTTAGTGGAAAGAGAACTTAATAAAAACATTTTTTAGAATTCAGGTGATGTCTGACATGTAAGGAGCTGTTAAGTTCCTCTTTAAAAGACTTGCAAGCATCACAGACCTACCATCCATCCAGCTGTTTCCTGTGACTTTAACCTTATATTCCCCAGACAATTGTCTAGTACAGTAGCTGATACTTCTTGTTCATTGTTTCCAGAGAATGTTTTGCCTATCTATTTTGATAAAACATTTGAGTGTCTGCTGTATGCACATGCAGATATGTGCCAGGCCTGTACATGCCATTTAGAGCAATTGTGTACTTCTAATAGTGATAAAAGGCACTGCCTGAGTTAAAAGATAGTTTCTTAGAAACCATTTTTTAAAAAGAGCTGCCTTACAAAATTATTAGTTGCTACTGAGCTGAGAATTTAGTTATTGGCAATAAGATTAGTAATGTTACTGAATTTTAACAGGTAGTTGTAACAATTACTTCCTTTTCTCCATATGTAAGTAACAATCTTGCTCTAATGATGAAGAAAGACTTAAAGTGGATTGTATCACAAGTGTTATCCTAATTCATGCAGGATAATGTGGCTGTTTCCCTGGCAATCTGGAAAGGGAATCACATATCCTTACCCTTAATCTGCAATATTTCTCTAATAATAGACTGGAAAGGCCACCAGAAAAATGCTTTCTGGTGCTATTGCACAAATGATTTCTTTAAGTCACTACAACTCCCAAATTGCAAGTAGTTTTGTGTAAGTCGTTAGAGATCATGGAATTGTCCTTCAAGTTAAAAGCAGTATTCCTGAAGAGTATTCAAAAAGGTTTTCAGGCGTCCTCTAATCTTAGGAACAAAAATGACTACATGTACAGGCCTGCTATTAGACTTTTCTCTCGGTGATTTTTTAACATTTCTGATGCTCTCCTTCTTTGCAGAAGAGAAATATGATAACTGAAATAGTGTTTTGTATATTGAAGTTTAAAGGTATTCCCTTTCCCTTTTGGACCCCTATTTCTGATGATGTTCTAAGATGCTATTGATAAACTGGGGAAAATTTGTTGGTAGTTTTATCCATACACAAGGGACTTCAAAGTGTTTTCTGGATTGTCTGAAACAATAGATTTCTTATTTATCTGAAGATATATATATGGACTGCATATAGTTTGGTCTCATCTCTCAGTCTGTGCAGTTGAATTTTTGTATGTGGCTGCTGCCAAAATATAACAATGGTTTATTCTTCATATTTGGAACATAACTGTGAAAAAATCTTTTGTAGTGAAATAGTCTGTACTACTAACTAAACTAAGCTGTTTAACTGAGTCCTTAAGTTATTTACATTAATATAAATAGGCCAGAGGAATTTATATGAGTTAAAATTTCTATTTTTTTCTATAGATCTTTGTATTTTCTAAAAATAGCTAAAATTCTGAGATGCTCCTGTAAGCCTGAGATTGTATAATAGGATTGACATCATTTCCTCAACAATCTGTGGCGTATAATTGACACCAGTCTTTTTGACTGCAGTTCTAATTTGGTTTACCAATTTCTTTTGGCATCAAAGTATCAAGCAGGGATAGACAAATGATAAGATTTCCAATCATAGGAGTCTCCATTTTTTTAGAAATGTTTTTGTCATCTCATAGTTGAATAACAAGGAATATTTTGGACTTCAGTTTCTGGCTTTCATATGAGTCTTTTTATATTTACACTTTAGTGTTGAAGGTGCAGTGATCTTTTGGGAATTAAGTATTATAAAGAGTAATAATAGTGAAAGATGAAGTGATTCGAGTTTAGGGTTGGATAAAAAAAATGAGGAATATGAAAAGTGGGAAACAGCTGAGATGGAGGAATTTAAAGGCTTGGTAATAAAAGTGCATTTGCTGTGGTCATAGATGTTTATCAAGAGGCTTGTGCAGCATAGTCTTTTGACAGAGTTTGGGTAATATTACTGTAGGAATTCTGTAATTCATGAATCTAGAACAAAGTCTGCACTCAATTTGTGAACATGCAGGTCAAAGTGCTAGTAAGGTTTATGGCCCATACTAAGTGGAAACTGGGCCTGGGGGAGGGGTGAATGGGAGCGTAAATAAATATACTCCTAAAGGCGTTTTTGAAGAAGTTCGAATATAGTACTAATGCCTTTGTCTCAGTATTTTATAAAAAGAGAATACTTTTTTAAGCTGTAATAAACCGTATGATGATTATAGCCTCTTCTTGTACCTTTAAGTTGTGAAAGCCATTTATGACCCCATTTCAGAGGATAGAAAGATGATTAAGCATAGGTGAGATACCTAACATCACAATAGTGACCACCAGGAAGGAAAAAACAGTAGAGTTAACCGTGTTCCTGAATTTTGAGAATATTACATCAAACACTAATATTTCAAATTGTAACATTGGTAGAAGTCATGTTCACTCATGGGTATATTTGATTTAAATAATTTTCCAGATAAGCCATCTCTAGTTATTTTATGTCATTCTTTTAAAACCTTTTGCATGCAGTTTCATGTGTGTATGCAAAACCACATGGCACATTTTATAAATAAACATAATATTGGGAATATGCTAATTTTATTGATGGGGTAAATGATCAGAAATGTTTAGAGACTATTTCTCTAGATTATCACTAAAGTAGATGAATGTTTACTCTCCCAAGAATAATTCATGATCATATTCTTTAAGTGATAAGTCTTAAAATGAGAAGCTGTTGTAAAATGACAAGAGCGGGGTTTCTTGTCTAATTTTAGCTTATCTGCCTGAGTCTGTATTTGTAAAATTAAGATATCCTTTACAGCCAACAGATATCAAAAATACATATTATACCAGTTCAAAATCTGCATGTAACTATATATTAAACTATGTGTTGCTACGTGTTGAAATTCACATTTCTTTTAGAAATTTTCTTTTTAAGTATTAGGACTTTTGTAACATTTCATTTATTTGCATGTTTGTAAAAGAACTAAGTTAATGTAGTTGCACATCTGGGATTAAATTTGTTTTAGCATTAATATTTAACCAGTAGTCCACTGTATCTTCCTCTTGTTCAGAGCAATTCCTAAATTTTTAGAAAGGAAAGATGACTAACAAATTGAACTTTGAGAAGGTTCTGTGAACAGGCATAAACCTAAAATGATATGATTTGACAGTTGCACTATTAACAGGATTGGATGTATTTTCCAGTCTTGATTTATGGCAGTTTTGTCCCCAGAAGTCAGTAGACTAATTAGAGTTGTATTTCTTATAAATTGCACTTGTGAGCCTTCAAGTTACCAATATATATTCTTATTTGATCTCCCAAACCGGGTGAGGTTGGCGGGTAGGTCAGTATTTTTTAATCTTTATTTTATGGACAGAAAATTGAGGCTTAGGGAATTTAATTTGTTCTAATGGTAAATAGCTAGTAAATAGCAAACTCATAATTTGAACTCAGGTCTTTATGACCCCAGAATCCAAGCTCTTAAATGCTATTATATTCTGGTATATGATTTATTTACCTGTTTCACATTGTTGAAACATGAATGTTTTAACTTTTTATTGCTAGTTGGTCATCTTTGGTCATTTTCATCCTTGAAACCCTTTCGCTTTCCATGTTCATTACACTAGGCACAGAACTGTCTTAAAACTAGGCTTTATTTAGGAGGCAATTGGGATTTAGTATAAAGAATACTAGTCTTGGACTCGGAGGAATGAGTTGGTATCCAGGCCTGTACCAGCTACCAGCTTGTGACTTGACA